TATATATATATATATATATTTAAATATGTATATACATATATATATATTTATAGGCGTATATAAAAATATAAATATATATATATATATATATATATATGAAGATACAAATATATTAATACAACTAAATATATAAACAAACAAATTAAGCAAATAAATACAAACAATAAATATAAATAAATATAAATAAATATAAATAAATATATTTGTTTATTTATTTGTCTGTCTACAAAAGAGAACGCCAGCCATAGAAGACGCCAACGCTGCTGTTGCTGCTGCTGCAGCAGAAGCTGTTGCTGCTGCTGCTGGAGAAGCTGTTGCTGCAGCAGCAGCAACAGCTCCTCGTACCCGCTGCACATGAAGCGGCTGCAGCAGCTGCAGCGGCTGCAGGCGAAGCAAGATAATCCACCTGCTGCCGCAGCAATTGCAGCAGCTGCTGCAGCAACGGCAGCAGCTGCTGCAGCAACTGCAGCAACTGCTGCTATGAGACGCAGCAAAAATCAACCTGCTGCTGCTGCAAATGCCGCATTTGCAGACGCACTGTATATATGTCGGCACGAGGAGCAGCAGCAACTGCAGCAGCAAGTGCTGCTGGAGTTGCTGCTGCTCCCGTTGCTGCAGTAGCTGCTGCTGCCGGAGACGCTGTACACTACTGCTACTGCTGCTGCTACTGCTGCTGCTGCTGCTGCTACTGCTGCTACTTGCTACGCATACCTTGGAGCAGCAGCAGCAGCGGTTCCCAGCCCGGAGGCAGTTTGCTGCATCGGCACTGCAGCAGCAGGATAAAGCGTCTGCTGCAGCCCGTAGGGCGAAGCAGCAGCAGCAGCAGCAGCAGCAGCAGCAGCAGCGTTGTTCTCTCTCGCCCACGCCATGTAGAGCGCAGACACCTGGGCATCAAAGTCGGAGCAGTAGTTCTGCTGCTGCTGCTGATAATAGCCTGCTGCTGCTGCTGCTGCTGCTGCTGCTGGGTTGCCTTGCCAGTGTTGTGCTGCTGCTAGTTCTGCTGCTGTAGGGTCTTGCTGCTGAAAGCCCCTCATGAAGTCAACCTCGCTGCTGCTGCTGCTGCTGCTGCTGCTGCTGCTGCTGCCACGGATCTGCTTCCACAGCCACGGGAGCCCCGTACAACGAAAGAGAGAATGCGTTAAGCTTGCTGCTGCTGCTGCAGGTCCTCCTGCTGTGCTGTTAAGAGTTGCTGCTGCGAGCAGCAGCACAACAGCAGCAACAGCAGTTGCTGCTGCTGCTGTTGCAGCACCAGACCAGCTAGTTAAGTCGTCATAGTTATGGCTGAAGCAGTGAAGCTTGTGGGGTGTACGTACAGCAGCATTTGCTGCATCAGCAAGCTGCCGGTGCTGCCGCTGCAGCTGCTGCTGCTGCTGCAGCGTGAGTTGCTGCTGCTGCTCCTGAGACAAAGCCTGCATGTAGCAGCTCTTCTGGTTTATAACTCCAACCATGGACTTAATTGCAGCAGCAAGTGCCTGCACTCGCCAGCGGGCCTCTTCAACTGCAGCATTGCTGCTGCTGCTGCTGCTGCTGCTGCTGCTGCTGTTGCTGCTGGCCCATAGAAGGCTGCGCAAGCGGCAGCCGATGCTGCGGCGCTGCAGCTGCGACCAAGCAGCAGCAACAGCAGCAGCAGCAGCTTCAGGTGTTTGAGATAGGATAAGTGTCGGTTGCTGCTGCTGCCGCTGCACACGCAGCTGCAGCAGCTGCAGCACCGTGAGGCCTCCCTCTACAGCAGCAGTAGGGGCACCCATATTGTTTGCTGTTGCTGCAGCAGCAGCAGCAGCAGCAACAGCAGCTGCAGGCCTTCCTGCTGCAGCAGCAAGGCCTGTATCTGACAAAAGAGGAGCAGCAAAAAATACTGCAGCAGCAGCAGGAACCTCTACCCAGCTGCTGGGCTCAGCCCCAGCAGCAGCAGCAAGCCGTGCTGCAGCAGACTGCGGCAGCAGCGGCGAAGCAGAAGCAGCAGCAGCTGCTGCTGCTGATGCCTCAGATCCCTCCTGCAGCAAATCCATCAACCAGTACCATCCCTTTGCTGCTGCGTTGCTGCATGCAGCAGCAGCAGCAGCAGGAGACAGCAGCAGCTGCTGCCAAGCAAAATCATTTCCCTCACCCGCTGCGGAGGCCCCAGCAGCAGCAGCAGCAGGAGCAGCAGCAGGAACAGCAGCAGCAGGAGGCGGTCCAGCAGCAGCACCAAGAGCACCAGCAGCGGGAGCTGCTGCTGTTGCTGTTGTTGTTGTTGCTGCTGCTGCTGCTGCTGTTGCTGCTGCTGTTGGGGCAAGCACTCCAGGCCGCCTAAAGGCGGGACGCTGTCTATCATAAGCTACGTGCTGCTGCCAGTGCAGCAATCGCTGAGATGTTAGCAGCAGCAAATAAACAAGCTGCAGCAGCAACTCGTCATGCTGCAGCTGCAGCAGCTGCAGCGGCTGCTCATGCAGCTCCAACAGCTGCTGCTGCTGCTGCTGCTGCTGCTGCAGCGGTGATCCCCCCTCACGATAAGACAACCAACTACGAATATAATATGCGGTTTGCTGCTGTGCTGCTAGCTGCTGGAAGTTGCTTGTTGCTACATCTTGCAGCAGCAGCTGCGGCTGCAGCAGCAGCAACAAAGTAGGAGCAACAGCAGCATAACATTCCCACAAGACGCTGTTGCTGCTGGTGCTGCGATCCAGCTGCAGCAGCAGCTGCTGCAGCCGCGACACAACAGCTGGCAGCGGCGTGTTAGCCATTCTTTGCTGCAGCGCAGCAGCAGAAGCAACCCTGCTGCTACTGCTGCTGCTGCTGCTGCTGCTGTTGCTGCTGCTGGTGCTGCTGCTGCTGGTGTTGGTTCCGCGAATCTTTGACAGCTTCTTGCTGCTGTTGCTGCTGCTGTTGCTGCTGCTGGATGGAATGATATCAGCTGCTGCAGCAGGAGGCGACTGCAGCAAGAGTCGGGGCTGCTGCTGCTGCTGCAGCAGCAGCGCTGTTTGCTGCAGGTGGCTGCAGATACGGAGCAGCAAGTAATGAGAGAAGATAGGGCTCTGTATTTTGAGTGTTTCAGCAGCAGCAGCAAGCTGCAGGTAAAAGAGACAGCGCCGCTCACGTAGCTGCGGCAGCAGCAATGCTGCAGCATCATAGCAGCAGCAGCAGCAAAGAGGCAGCAAAGATGCAGGGTTCGATCCCCCCATCCAGGTGTATGTGCATCCAACACCGCATAAAAACAAAAAACTGCTGCGACCGCTTCGAGGCATTATGCGAGGAAGCAGCAGCGGCAGCAGCTGCTTCCCATACCATCTATAAGACATTCTGCTGCTGCTGCTGTTGCTGCTGCTGCTGCTGCTGTTGTTGCTGTTTTTCGCGGTGGTGCTGTTGGTGGTGGTGCTGCTGCTGCAGCTGCTGCAGGCCTGCCGCTGCTCCTGCTGTTGCTGTTGCTGTTGTTGTTGTTGCTGCTGCTGCTGCTGTTTGCGGTGGTGCTGTTGGTGGTGGTGGTGGTGCTGCTGCTGCTGCTGGTGCTGCTGGGCCTACCGCTGCTGCTGCTGCTGCTGCTGCTGCTGCTGCTGCTGCGGAGGCAGCTACAAACCGTCGCATGCTGAGAGCATCTCTGGAAAAGACTCAAAGACGTTCAAACCCTAAGCCCTAAACCCTAAACCCTAAGCCCTAAACCCTAACTGCAGCGGCTGGCTTGTGGTTGAGGGCCTCTTAAAGGAGATGCTGCTGCTTGCTTTTGTATATAAACCCATCAGCAGCAGCAATAGATGAAAAACTAAAAAAATATTTTAAAACTCTTTAATCTGCTGCTTATACACAAATAAAACAGCTCTTCCTGCATGCGCCGGGGCTGCAGCGCAGCCGCACAAAACCTAGGGTTTAGGGTTTAGGGTTTAGGGTTTAGGGTTTAGAAGCATCTCCTTTATCTTCCTTGCTCTTATCTTGCATTTCTGCTGCGGTGCTGTCTTATTAGCCTTCAGGGCTTTAGTGGCTTTAAACAAGGGTTTAGGGTTTAGGGTTTAGGGTTTAGGGTTTAGGGTTTAGGGTTTCTTCTCGGTGTGTGAAGACGAACTTCGCTGAAGAACACCAACAAAAGCCTTGAGAATCCACCCTCTAGGGTTTAGGGTTTAGGGTTAAGGGTTTAGGGTTTAGGGTTTAGGGTTTAGGGTTTGAAGATGGCTAAGGCAGTGGTTTACTTCTGCACAGGCAATCAAAACAAATTAAAAGAAGTGCAGCAGATGATGGAGGGGGTACCGGTGGAGTTTAGGGCTCTTGACGTAGACTGTACGTACACCTCAAACCCTAAACCCTAAACCCTAAACCCTAGGGTTGCCCTGTACACCCTAAACCCTAGGTAGTATCAACTTTGTGCGAACCCTCGTCAAAGGCTTGCTACTCTGTGGCTGCTGGCCTCCTTAAACCCTAAACCCTAAACACTCAAGCTGAAGAGCATCTGGGGCTGTGGGTTATTCTAGCCCCAACGGGAAAGGGTTTAGGGTTTAGGGTTAAGGGTTTAGGGTTTAGGGTTTAGGGTTTAGAATAAAGCAGCATGCGGATTTATTAGCTGTGTAGTTGTTTCTGTGCGCACTCGAAGTTGTTGTTGCTTCTCTGAAAGTTGCGGTTTAGGGTTTAGGGTTTAGGGTTTAGGGTTTAGGGTTTAGGGTTTGCTGCGGTGTATGCACAGTGCCGGAGCTGCAGGGAGACACCGCTGAAATTTCCAGAGCCAAATGCCTGGCGGCTGTCAGCAAACACCGCAGCAGCAGCAGCAGCAGCAGCAGCAACGGCAGCAGCAGCAACGGCAGCAGCAGCGAGCTACCTGAGTTTGTATTTACAGAAGATACTGCGCTTTGCTTCAACGCCCTAGGAGGGCTGCCAGGTCCTTACGTGTGAGTCCTAGGGTTTAGGGTTTAGGGTTTAGGAGGGTTTAGGGTTTAGGGTTTGCTACAGAAGACCGTGGGCAACGACGCTCAGGGACGAAGCAGCAGACACAAATATGCGGCTCCTGTGTTGCTGCTGCTGTTGCTGCTGCTGCTGCTGCTGCTGCTGCTGCTGTTGCTGCTGCTGCTGCTGCTGCTGCTGCTGCTGGGGTGTACAGGAAATGGTTTTTAAAAACGTTGGGGGCTGCAGGTCTTCCTAAACTTCTCGCGGGTTTCGAGGTGAGATATAATTCAGGAGCCTGCAGCAAACCCTAAACCCTAAACCCTAAACCCTAGCTTTTAGTGTTGATTGGTGCTGCAGGACAAGACAGCATATGCTCTCACCAGCCTCTGCATAGCTGATGCAAAGGGAGAGCTACATCTCTTTGAGGGGCGCTGCGACGTAAACCCTAAACCCTAAACCCTAAACCCTCTCACCTTTAGTGCGCTCGCACGCGTAGCACACAACTTGGCTGCAGTGCTTGCTGCTGCAGCTGCTGCAGTTGCTGCTGTTGCTGCTGCTGCTGCTGCTGCTGCTGCTGCAGGGGGCAGTGGTAGAACCAAGGGGGAAGACTACCTTTGGCTGGTGAGGCGCTGCAAGGTTTAGGGTTTAGGGTTTAGGGTTTAGGGTTTAGGGTTTAGGGTTTAGGGTTTACAGCGTCTTTTCTTTCTTTTTTATTGAGACTGTAGATTTCTCTGCATTGCACACACGGGTGCGACCTGAGGGTTTAGGGTTTAGGGTTTAGGGTTTAGGGTTTAGGGTTTAGGGTTTGATCAGGGACTGCATCTTTGAAGAGCGCAGCTCAAAGAAGACCTTCGGAGAGATGTCGACGGAGGAGAAGGCGGGGGTTTCGCACAGAGGCCGCGCAATGAAGCAGCTGAAAGTAAACCCTAAACCCTAAACCCTAAACCCTAAACCCTAGTTGCTTTCAGCCTTATCTACTCGTACGAACCGCTGCAGCGCCACAAACATCGATTTAAAATTTGTTTTTTGAATGCAGGAATTCTTGCTAAAGGCCACCGCTTAAAGGAGTTTAGGGTTTAGGGTTTAGGGTTTAGGGTTTAGGGTTTGGGGTTAACAAACCCTGAGGGACTTCCAACGACCCGATGGAGCTGAAGGTGCCCTTCACCTGTACCTTGCGCTGCAGCAGCAGCAGCAGCAGCAGCAGCAGCAGTTGCTGCTCCGCAGCAGCTGCTGCTGCATGCCCTGCTGCTGCCTTGACTGCTTTTGCAAGTGCTGCTGCATCTGCTGCTGCAGCTGTTGCTGCATCTGATGTTGCAGCTGTTGCTGCAGCAGCACCTGCCTTTGCAGCTGCTGCTGCAGCTGCTGCTGCAGCATTCCCATGAGGGTTTGCAGGATAAGGTTGTTTTTATATATTTTATTTGACTGATTTATTTCTTTTAAGAGATGAACTTTTTAATTTGCTGTGGGTGCAGCAGCAGTGTGTCTTTGTTTTAATGAAGAGTTTATTTAATTGCATTATAAATAAATAACAACTAAATAAACTCTGCATATAACATTTTGATATTTCTGTCTTCTTTCTTTCTTTGCTCTTGAAGAAGAACAACATATTTTTATTGTTAACCTGCACTTCTATCTCATCTCTAGGGTTTCGGGTTTAGGGTTTAAGGTTTAGGGTTTGAGCTGTCGGCAGCGGCCGTTTAGTCTAGTGGTATGATTCTCGCTTTGGGTGCGAGAGGTCCCGGGTTCAATTCCCGGAACGGCCCTTTATAAACTCTAAACCCTAAACCCTTTATTTGTGCTTCTTGTTGCTATGGCTGCTGCTGTTGCTGCAGCTGCTTCACCAGCAGTAGCTGCATTTTTTTGCTGCAGAAGCAGCAGCAGTTGCTGCTGCTACAGCAGATACTCTCTTTAGCAAAAGAAGTTAATATGTGATTTCTTCTGCTACTGCTGCTGCTGCTGTTGCTGCATGCATGCATGTAGCTACAGAAAATGCTTAAGGAGAAGCCTCGAGACCAATGGAGGTGACCAATGGTCCACTGTCAATGCCAGTGGTCCTTCCTGCAGCAAAAGAGGTTGCTGCTTCGAGCAGCAGCAGACAAGCAGCGAAGGAGCAGCAACAAGTGTAGGTAGACAAGCCAGGCTAAGCATGAAAATATATATAAACAAACAACACTCAATAATTAAACGAGCAACAAATAAACATAAAAAGACAGAAAGGGAGACAGTAAACCCTAAACCCTAAAACAAACCAAGAAGAAAGCAAAACAACAAAGACAAGAGCAAAATAATAAATAAAGAAAAACGAGCGCCTAAACCCTAAACCCTAAACCCTAAACCTCCCCCATCCAGAATCAAATGCACTTAACATCAATCTGAGGCCTATAAATGTACAGAAGAAATATTAGATAATAGAGCTAATACATCTATATATATATATATATGTATTGCATACCTCTAATACTATATATATATTATATAATATATAAACCCTAAACCCTAAACAATAAAAAATAAAACAAGTGTTTAACAAATAACATAAATAATTAGAGAAGTAGTGTCGGCCGTTTAGTCTAGTGGTATGATTCTCGCTTCGGGTGCGAGAGGTCCCGGGTTCGATTCCCGGAACGGCCCTTTATAGATATTATAACTGTTTATTAATAATAAATAATTATTAATATTTCTTTCTTATGGTGCTTGTTTATTTATTTATTCTGACTCTCTAGTGGTTTATTATATATTTTTTTCTTGCTTTTGTTTGAGGGTTTGTTGGGTGTTTCATCACATTCCAGCGTTACTTATTGTCTTTTCTTGTCTAAAGGGGGCCGGAGAGTTTATTGGATATTTGATACAAAACTCACAAGATAAAGAAAAAGTCTATTTATTGAGCATTATAACAATTGATATAAATTTAAGGGTTTAGGGTTTAGATGGAAGTCTACTAAAAAATATCCAGCAAAATAACGCAGGCACAGGAGAGAAACTCGCAGCAGTGGTTGTAGGGAAGAGTAAGCAGAATAAAATATTTAAAAATAATATATTTATTTTTAAATATTCATTTGCAAACAAATAATTCAATATTTGATGCTGGAGATGGAGGAGAAGAACCTAAAAATCTGAGTCTACCTTCCCTACGGTTAAGTGTTGTTGTCTGCCTGATTTATATTTGGAAGTAAAAATAAATAATAATAATAATAATAATAATAAATAAAATGAACAACAAGTATTGAATAAACCTGCAAAAAACAAATTAAATTTAACCTGAAAAACACTAATTTACAAAGGGCCGTTCCGGGAATTGAACCCGGGACCTCTCGCACCCAAAGCGAGAATCATACCACTAGACTAAACGGCCTTAGTTCAAGGCCCTCCGGCGGCAGCAGCAACAGCAACAGCAGCAGCTGCTGCTGCTGCAGCACCAACGGCAGCTCTATTAGCAACAGCAGCAGCAACAGCAGCAGCAGCTTTATTAGCAAGGGCAGCAGCAGCAGCTCCTGCTGCTGCCGTTGCTAATAAAGGCGCATCAGTTGCTGGTGCTGCTCTTAATAAAGCAGCAGCAGCTGTTCTATATTGCATTTACGCAGCCATCAACTATAGTTAAAATGCAGTAGTACTGCTGCTAATCCTGCAGCAGCAACAAGAGCTGCTGCTGCTGCTGATGATGATGACGAAACAAGCAGCTGCTGCTTTATTGAATGCCACTAGGCAGTTCGACGTACACCCCAAGGGCTGAAGCGCTCAACCATTAGAACCTTCCAAGGGTTTAGGGTTTAGGGTTTAGGGTTTGTTAGAATGTTAGCTTTTCAATTCGGTTGTCTCTAACAAATGCTTCGTGGGCTGGACTCCCTTTTGCCTGCAACCAGCGCAACACAAAAACTAAAACCTAAACCCTAAACCCTAAACCATAAACCCCAGACCCTAAACCCTAAACCCTAAACCCCAAAACCCACACATAAACCCGAGTAAGTTAAAACTAACTGAAACTCCAAACACTGGACCCCAGACCCTAAACCCTAAACCCTAAACCCTAAACCCTAGCTTACAAGTATATGAAAGGCAGCAATGCTAGGAAATCGCTTAACGCGTTGCAGAAGAAGAGCCAACGGGAGATTTATAGGAAAGCTCAGCAGCACCCCACCAGGTAGACCGCACTGCAGCAGCAGCAGCAGCAGCAGCAGCAGCAGAAGCAGCAGCAGCAGCAGCAGACGCAACAGCAGCATCAAGAAAAGCAGCAAAAGCCTACTTAGTTGCTGAGCATCTGCCCGCCTTCTGCAGCAGCAAAACCAGCAGCAGCAACAACTGGCTCTCACCAAGACACAGCAGCAGCACAACGAGCAGCAGCAGCAGCAGCAGCAGCAGCAGCAGCAGATGACGTTACCTCATAATATGCCACGAGGTTTTCTAAGAAGTATTTTTTCTCATGGTCCCAAGAAGGGAAATCCGTGGCTTCTTGCTGCTGCTGCTGCTGCTGCTGCTGCTGTTGCTGCTGCTGTTGCTGTTGCTGCTGCTGTTGCTGTTGCTGCTGCTGCTGCTGTTTCATGAGGGTATATTTAGAAGGGAATATAGTTTTGAGTTGCTGCAGTAGCGAGAGGCGTTCATCTGCTGCAGCAACAGCATCTGCCCTGCAGTATTCATCGAGCAGCAGCAGCAGCGGCAGCAGCAAGAAGTATTCGCCAGTTAACACTTCCAGGTGTACAGACACTTCAGCAATTTGTGCTGCTGCTTCAGATAGGCCAGGAGGCACGGGGCAGCAGCAGATACCTGCAGCAGCAAAAAAACACTCTCACAACTGCTGCTGCAGCTGCTGCTGCTGCTCCTGTTGCGGCTACACATGTTGCTCTTGCTGCTGCTGCTGCTACTCCTCCTGCTGCTGCTGCTGCTGCTCTCTGGGTGCCGTGATCTCCTTCAATGTATTTCCTCTTGCTGCTCTTTTGTCTCCTCGCACGCTGCTGCTGCAGCAGCAGCAGCAATACCCAGCAGCAGCAGTAGCAGCAGCAGAGCCGAAGCAAACGAGCAGCAAAACAGTAATGATGATTCAGTGCAGCTCTTCTTTTGTTTGGGGTGTATGGGCAGCTCACCTCTTTTGCTGAGGATTTCTTTTGGAGACGGTATCTGCTGCTTCTGCCCCCGTGCTGCTGCTGCTGCTGCTGCTGCTGCTGCTCGCTTGCGCTCCTGCTGCGCCGCGTGGCGCTCCCTCGCTTGCTGCTGAAGCAGCTTCAATTCCTTCTCAGCTTCTGGATCGAATGCTGCTGGTGCTGGTGCTGCTGCTGCTGCTGCCGGAGCTGCTGCTGCTGCTGCTGCTGCTGCTGTTTCTGCTGTTGGCGGTGGTGGTGCTTCTGCTGCTGTTGCTGCTGCTTCCCCGCCTTTTATTGCTGCTGCTTCTTTCGCTGCTGCTTCTGCTTCTGCTGCTGCTGGTCCTGCTGCTGCTGCTGCTGGTTCTGCTGGTGCTGCTGCTGCTGCTTCTGCTGCTTCTGCTGCTGCTGCTGCTGCTTGGAGGCCCATAGCAGCAAATCGTTCTGCTTGTGTATACAGCTCGAGATGCAGCGATGCCTTAGCCCCTCGCATGTACCTAAAAGACAATCAAGGGTTTAGGGTTTAGGGTTTAGGGTTTAGGGGGATCGATGGTGAGCGCCAGTGAGTATGCGCCTGAGACGTGCCGCAATGCAGCGTTAGGGTTTAGGGTTTAGGGTTTAGGGTTTAGAATTTAGGGTTTAGGGTTTACGCTTTAAGGTTTGCTGGGTTTAGTTTAATCGCTTCCCGCGCGCTGTCTATACACCGCAGCAGCTGCCCTTCTTTAAGATAGCAGAGAGATATGTTTGAATGAACGAGAGACAACTCTTTTGAGTTGTTTATGCCTTGATTTAAAGCCTGCACAAACCCTAAACCCTAAACCCTAAACCCTAAACCCTAAACCCTAGACCCTAGACCCTAATTCATGTACCCGTTCAGTTCCCAAAACCCAAGGTTCGAGCAGAACCCCTGAGGCGAAGGCTGGAATAGCACAAACCCTAAACCCTAAACCCTAAACCCTAAACCCTAAACCCTAAACCCAGGATTAATTTAATTCCTAAATCCTAAACCCTTAAGCATAAGAAATGTTTACAGTTGAAGCAGATGCATAAACAATGGGTATCATGCTAGGGTTTAGGGTTTAGGGTTTATTTAGCTTCCTGCATAGAGGCAGGGTCTAGGGTTTACGGGTGTGGGGTTATCGAACTGCATTATCTAAGGATTAGGGTTTAGGGTTTAGGGTTTAGGGTTTGCGTACATATTTATATGCTTGATGTGCTTGTTGAAGAGCTTGCCTGGCTTTGTTTGTGTTGTTTGCTTTGATAGAAAGCATAGCTTCTTTAAGATGTTTATTAGCCTCATCTTTATATCTTTTAAAGACAGATAAAGGTGTTTCACCTTCATATGCAAGCAGCTGCAGCGCATGCAGCTGGGGATCGTCGCTGGGATCGTCTGGGATCGTCTCCAGGAATAAGGGGCATTCAACATCTCTATACTTTGCTTCTAAATATGTTAAATATGAAGCATCAGCTTCCCAGCTATCATCATCATCTGCTAATGAAGACAATTGCTGCAGCAAAGCTGCAGGGTCCCTGCTTCCTGTTGCTGCTGCTCCTGCTGCTGCTGCTGCGGGTGTTGCTGCTGGTCTTGCTTCTGTTGCTGTTGCAGCTCCTGTTGCTGCTGTTGTTGTTGCTGCTGCTGCTGTTGCTGTTGTTGTTGTTGCTGCTGCTGCAGGTGCAGCAGCAGGAGGTTTATGCTCCGCCATGTGGAGGAAGGAAGGTTTATTGCGTTTGAGGGTTTAGGGTTTAGGGTTTGGAGACTTCAGTTTGTAGCTGGGAGAAGGCAATGCAGCTTTAAGGAAGTAAAGACGAGATTAAATAAATAAATTAATTTAAAAATATTAAAATGCGTATTAATATATTTTTTATTTGAATTTATCTCAACAACAGCAACAGAACAACCTGCTCATACACCCCACGCCTCTGCAATATATACAGCCGCGATTGAGTTGTTATTGCTGCATTATTTTAAATATAAACATTTAAAATAAATATTTAATTAATTTAAATATTATATAAACAAAATATATTTATAACAATTCATTATACACCCCAACATCCGCCAAGGACTGGCGGTGGGGCTGCATGCGGAGACGAAATAAATAAACTTTTGAAGAATAATAATTAAAATATTTAAATTAATTATTTTATTCAATTACATCATTTTATTTACTTATAATAAATATCATTCGGCTCCCCTTCCTGCACTTCAATATTTTTATAAGGCGTTGATACACCTCAACATTACATATATATATATATATATATATATATATATATCGTAGCAGCAGCTGCGGCTGCAACATCTGTGGCAGCAGCAATAGCGCTAGCTTCAGCAGCAGCAGTAACCATGCATTGGCTCTAGCAGCAGCAACAACCGATGCAACAGCAGCAACAACAGCAGCAGCAACAGCAGCAAAGGGTGCTGCTAGATCTGTGTAGAAGCGGCTGTTGTTTAGAAGGGGCTTTGAAGAGTGTGGGGAAAGAAATAAAAAGTTAATTAGACACCTGAAGCTGCCTATACACCTCAATTCTTCTCTCTTCTTCTGCAGCAAACCTTTTAATGCAATCGCAGGCGAAGTAAAAAATAAATAAAATAATAAAGAATATAAATAAACGAAAAAATAAATAATAAGAAACAAATAAATAAGTAGAGAAAAATAAAACAAAAAACATAAAATAAACAAACAGCGACATAAATAAACAAACAGATAAATGCGAACAAACAAACAAAAACAAATAAATAAATAAAATAAACAAACAGATAAATGCAAACAGACAAAACAAATAAGTAAATAAATAAAATAAACAAGAAAACAAACGAGCAAAACAAAATAAGATAAAATAAAATAAACAACCAAATAAAACAAACAACGAAGCCAAGACGGAAAATAAAAAATAATAAATAAATAATAATAATAAATAATAATAATAATAATAATAATAAATAATAATAATAAATAATAATAAATAATAAATAATAATAATAATAAATAATAATAAAGACATTGTCTGTTCTTTTATTCATAGACAAGACAGAAAGAAAGCATCCCCTAAACTCTTCGGGTGTACGTACACTCCAAACAACTACAAAGGCGGGGCCCCACAACATTTGCATTTGCTGCTGCAGCAGCTGCAGCAGCAGCAAATGCTGATGCAAATGCTGCTGCTGTTTGCAGCAGCAAATGCTGCTACTGTTGCTGCAGCTGCAGCTGCTGTTGCTGAAGCTGCTGCAGCAACCCTCAGGTGTATTATATACACCTCAAAGGCAGCTGTGGGGCGTCGGTCGCTGCGCTGTATGTACAGCTGAAAATGCAAATAGACATTTTGTGTCTTCCGAATTATTTATTTAAATTTATTTTCATTTAAAGCGGAGAATTTAAAGCAGCAGCAGCAGCAGTTTATCTCTTTGTTGGGGTTCCCGCACTATATATATATAATATCTGTATATATATCTGTATATATAATATATATAGTATGCACAATAAATATATGCTTTATTATATTGCATATATTATATTTAGGTGCATGTACACCCCAGCAGTCAACCCGCTGCTGCTGCTGCTGCTGCTGCTGCTGCTGCTGGA